TGAAATTACTAATTAGTATGTGCTTTACTTTACGTCTTCTTCTATTCCATCACACCTTGCTTGCTTTGCATGGTATCACTAGGTAAACATGGGCGAGGCGGAAGAAGAGAATATCTTTGCAGATATATATGAGTATATTGAGGATACAAATGTCATTGTCCCTCCAAGAGTTGATGATGCTACCTTCAAGGTGGAACATAGTCTAATCCTAATGCTCAAGGCAGAGGGATTTTTCCGAAATTCCACAGATGATGATCCGATACAACATCTCAGAAATTTCTTGGGTGTGTGTGTGATGCACAAGCAGAATCACGTTTCCGATGATGCCCTAAGGTTGAGGGTGTTCAAGTACTCTATAACTGGAGAGGCAAGACAATGGATCCAAAATCTACCGCATAATTCCATTCATACTTGGCCCGAGCTTGTCCGAGCTTTCCTAGAAAAATGGTTTCCGCAGAGCAAGAAGTATGAGCTCTGGGATAAAATTTTCTTTTTCAAGCAATTACCAGGAGAACATCTACATGAGGCACGGGATCGATTCAAGCTATAATTAGTGAGGTCGCCGAATCATGGTTTTCCGGATACTATCTTGTTGGAGAAATTTTACATGGGCTTGGATCCTATGAATCAATCCATAGCCAAAAATGCAGCTGATGGATCTTTTATGGATAAAACATTTGCGAGGATCACACAAATCCTTGACAAAATGGCAAAATATAACCAATCTTGGCACTCAGAGGATACCACGGGTGGAATTGCATATGGTACTCCTTCCTTGACAAACATGATTAAGGAGAACCAAGAAAGAGATCAAGTAATTGCCGGGCTTGCCACCAACGTCAATGTGTTGATGAAAATGTTCATTGAAAACCAAACAAAAAAGGTGAACGTGGTGGAAGATGTTCAACACATGTCAAATGAGGATTACGAGGAAGCAAATTATGTCTACAACTCTCAAGGAGGTTATCAAAGGCAACCCTACCAAGGTTCAGGACAACAAAACCAATGGAGGCCTAACCCGCAAGGGCAAGGCAACCAACAGTGGCGAAATGACCAAGGTAGTTCAAATCAAGGAAATTGGAGTAACAACAACAATAATTTTTCAAATCGGAGTTCCAACCCCTATGTTCGACCAAAGGGGCAATATTCAAACTCTCCACATTGGAAAGAAAGTTCTTCGAATGAGTCCAAGTTGGAAAACATGCTTGAACGAGTATTGCAAAATCAAGAAAGATTTGACACTTCAATGAAGAACATGACCGAGCTTGTGGTCTCTCATATCACATCTATTCAAAAGTTGTAGATGCAAATGAGAGATCTCTCAAGAGAGCAAAATCCGAAGCAAAAAGGCACGCTCCCAAGTGACACAATTGCAAACCCGAAAGGTAGTGGGAGTGGACCAACCTCGCATTGTATGGAAATCACAACTCGAAGTGGGAAACTACTTCAAGAAGAGAATGAACAAGAGGTTGAAGTGGAAGATACCAAACAAGAAGTCAATGCACAAGTTGGTGCCAATTGTTGTTGAAGTTGATAGACTCCCGAAGAAAGTGAGAACTCAAGAAGTGAACCATGAGGAAGTTACGGAAAAGGCAATAGAGGCACCAAAAACTCTAGCACCAATTCCTAGGCCTCCGCCTCCTTTTCCTCAAAGACTTGCTAGGAGGGTTGATGATAGCAAACTCGAAAAGTTCTATGACATTCTCAAGCAATTATCGGTAAACATTCCATTTGTGGAAGCATTCAAGAGATGCCGGGTTTTGATAAGTACTTGACGGACTTAATCACTAAAAAGAGAACCACCAAGAATGAAGTGGTGAATGTGACTTACCGGGTTAGTTCCATCATTTCAACAACCACGGTCCAAAAGAAAGAGGACCCAAGAGCTTTCACCATCCCATGCACTATTGGGTTGCACGATTTTGCACGAGCCCTTTGTGATAATAGGGCTAGCATCAACTTAATGCCTCTTGCTATTTACAAAAAAGCGGGGTTAGGTATGCCTAGGCCTACAAGTATGAGGTTGCAAATGGCCGACCATTCAATAAAGAGACCTGTGGGAATTATTGATGATGTCCTCGTGAAAGTGGGGAAGTTCCTCCTCCCTGCCGACTTTGTTATCCTCGATTGTACTGTTGATAAAGAAATCCCTACCGGAGGAGCAATCATGGATTAGGAATGAAATGAGATCAAGTTCCGAGTTAATGACGAAGAGGTTACCTTCAAGCAAGTAAGGCTATGAAATTTCCGCATGCATACGAGAGTATCTCAGTCATTGATGTTGTTGATGAGGTAGAGGATGCAGTCGAGGTGAAGATGGAAGAGGAATGCCTTGGTGAGGCATTGGAAGCTATTTGGGTAAACTTCGATGATGAAGATATAGAAGGATACATGGAATCGGTAAATGCATTGGAAGGGCTTGGGTCCTACACTTATGAACTGAAGAAACTTTCTCTTGACTTAGAGAATAGAGTTACTCCTCCCGCTAAGCATTAAATTATCGAGCCACCACAACTAGAGCTCAAGCCACTTCCACCGCACTTAAGGTATAAATCTTGGCTCTAATGAAACTCTACCCGTAATCGTTTCTTCTTTGTTGAATGATGTGCAGGTTGAACAACTGTTGAATACTTTGAGGGAGCACAGGCAGGCCATTGGGTGGACAATAGCGGACATCCGAGGGATTCCCGCTGGGATTTGTGAGCACAAGATACAATTGAAGCAAGAAAGCAAACCTAGCGTGGAGCATCAAAGAAGGTTAACCCCCCCCCCCCCATGCAAGAGGCGGTGAAGAAGAATCATAAAATGGTTGGATGTCGGGGTTGTCTACCCCATTGCCGATAGTCCTTGGGGGGGTGCAATGTGTGCCAAAGAAAGGAGGCCTGACTGTGATTCAAAATGGCAAAAATGAGCTCATCCTGACGAGGATGATGACCGGGTAGAGAGTTTGCATGGACTACCGGAAGCTCAATAGTGCTACTTGCAAAGACCATTTCCCTGTGCCTTTTATTGATCAAATGCTTGATCGACTAGATGGAAGGTCATTTTATTGCTTCTTGGATGGTTACTCTGGATACAACCAAATCAACATCGCCTTAGAAGATCGAGAGAAGACAACATTCACATGCCCGTATGGGACTTTCACTTTTAGCCGGATGCCATTTGGGCTATGCAATGCTCTGGCTACCTTTCAACGATGCATGATATCAATCTTCTCGGACATGGTGGAGGATTTCGTAAAGGTGTTCATGGATTACTTTTTTGTGGTTGGTGATTCCTTTGAGCATTGCCTTGACAACCTTCGACAAGTGCTCAAAAGATTTGAGGAAACAAACCTTGTACTCAATTGGAAAAAATGTCACTTTATGGTGAATGAAGGTATTGTTCTGGGCCACAAAATCTCCAAACAGGGCATAGAGGTTGATCAGGCAAAGATCGAGATCATTTCCAAGCTTCCTCCTCCCACTTTAGTAAAAGGTGTTCGGAGCTTTTCGGGGCATGCCGGTTACTATAGGTGATTTATCAAAGATTTCTCGAAAATTGCAAGTCCCATGTGCAAGCTCCTTGAAAAGGATGTGAAGTTTGAGTTCGATGAGAAGTGCCTCAAAGCTTTTGAGGAATTGAAAGCAAGGCTCACCACGTCACCTATTATTGTCACACCTGATTGGTCTCTTCCATGTGAACTCATGTGTGACGCCAGTGGTGTAGCCATTGGAGCAGTACTTGGTCGACGGCATAAAAAGATTCTTCATCTTGTCTACTATGCAAGCAAGACACTCAATGGCGCACAAATAAATTACACTATGACGGAGCAAGAACTGCTTGCTATTGTCTATGCTTTTGAAAAATTCCGAGCCTATTTGTTGGGGTCCAAAGTGATAGTTTACACCGATCATGCTGCTCTCCGCTACCTTATGGCGAAGAAGGATGCTAAACCATGATTGATTAGGTGGGTTCTTTTGTTACAAGAATTTGACTTTGAAGTCAAAAACCGAAAAGGAATAGAGAATCAAGATGCGGATCACCTATCTAGGCTTGAAGAGGCAGGGAGACCAAAAGAAGATCTTGAAATAGATGATTCCTTCCCAGATGAACACATACAGGCATTGTTTAGCACATTCACTCCTTGGTGTGCCGACATCGCTAACTTCTTGGTTAGTGACCTTATCCCCAACGGATTAGAAGCTTATCAAAAGAAGAAGTTCCAGTGGGAGTGTAGGCAATATTATTGGGAGGAACCTTTTCTGTTCCGGATTTGCGCCGACAACATCATTCGGCGTTGTGTTCCAAAAGATGAGGTAATTCAAATTCTCAAAGCATGTCATGACTCCCTAGTTGGGGGCCATCATGGTGGAAATCCTACTGCGGCAAAAGTGCTTGAATGTGGCTATTATTGGCCATCGATCTACCAAGATGCCAACCAAATGGTCAAGGCATGTGATCAATGTGAAAGACAAGGGTCAATTTCTAGAATACATGAGATGCCCATGAATTTTGTGATGGAGGTCGAGATCTTTGATGTGTGGGGGATAGATTTTATGGGTCCCTTCGTAAGCTCTTATGGCATGACATATATCCTAGTGGCAATAGATTATGTCTCCAAATGGGTCGAGGCAATTGCCTGCCTAACAATGAGGCAAGGAGTGTAACCGCCTTCTTGAAGAAGAACATATTTATGTGGTTTGGAACCCCAAGAGCAATCCTTAGTGATGGTGGTTCTTACTTTTGCAACAAAGCTTTTGCCGGGCTGCTCGAGAAATATGGAGTTAAGCAAAACTGTCAATGCAAACATGACTAACTGGTCAAGGAAGCTAGATGATGCATTGTGGGCATATCGCACAGCATTTAAGACTCCCATCGGCACCTCACCATACCGGTTGGTTTTTGGTAAGGCGTGTCACTTGCCAGTGGAGCTTGAACACAAAGCCATGTGGGCATTGAAAAATTTGAATCTTGATTGAGCCGAAGTTGCTAACCTAAGAATGACACAACTCAATGAGATGGAAGAATTCCGTCTCCATGCCTATGCGAGTGCAGCCTTGTATAAGGAAAGAATGAAGTTTGTTCATGACAAGAAGATTTTGAAGCGGAAATTCAAATCCGGTGACTTGGTCTTACTCTTCAACTCAAGAATCAAGTTATTTCCGGGCAAATTCAAATCCAAATGGTCTGGCCCGTTCAAAGTTGTGAATGTGTCCCCCTATGGCGCTATTGAATTGGAGTCAGAGGACGGGACTCAAACTTTCAAAGTAAATGGCCAACGGGTCAAGCATTACCTCGGAACCACAGGAGAAAGGCACTTGGTAGAACAATTCAAACACAAAGATAGTCCTACACCAGCCCCCACCACTGATTAGCCCAAATTGGGTCATCATCATCGTGCCGCGACGTTAAATCAAGCACTTCTTGGGAGGCAACCCATGTGTGGTAAAATTCTTTTGTTAGATTTTAATTTGTGTAGATTTAGTTGTTAGTGTTGAGCAGTTTGACGTATGTGTTAGAATGCAGGTAGCTCAAAATACAATGAAATAGGGTGCAATGACAGAGAAGTAGGAAGGAAAGAAGAACCTGTGATCAACGGCAACTATGCGGTCGCACAATTACTTTGCGGACCGCATAGTGTTCGTAGACACACTCAGAAGAAAATGCAATTTTGGCCCTCAAAAATGCGGTGGAATTTCTATTTCTGCGGCCCGTGTAACAATTATGCGACCGCAGAATGCATCACGAAGTGAGTTTTAGCAAAGCAGTCAATAACTCATCGCATAACACATATGCGACCGCATAATGTGTTATATGATCTACTTTTCCACCGCAGAACCCCCAGGTATTATACCCTAACCCCCTCCACAATTCAGACGAACGCCCTCACTCTTACACACATAAGCATCGCACAACACAAAAGAGATCAAAAACAAAAATAAAATAAAAACTGAAGAAGAACAAGAAAAAGACCAAAAACATCGGATTAACAACACAAAATCACAAAAAGATAAAAGGAATTGCACGGAAAGAGGTCACGTGGTTCTTATCTCAGAACGAGTTCTTCAGCTCCTCATATATTTGGTATGTACATTTCCCCCTTTGTTCTCTTGCTTAATCTCGTTGAAGAAAATCATGTGCTTGCAATTCCCTTCCCCATTCTTCTCAATCCCTTGATGTGTGTGTGTATTCGGTTCAAGAATCAGTGTTTGGGAAATTGATGTTGTGGGAAAATTGGGTCTTAGGGATTTAACCCACAAAATAGGTGTAGAGAACAAGGGTTGGGAAATTTTTCTATGTATTGGGTGTGCAATGTCTGATTTTAGCTGTTAGAAGCTCGATAAGTTGGGTGGGTCAATTTTTGACTGAGGACGATGAACTTTGCGGTCTGCATAACTAGTCCGCGGCCCGCAGAGTCGTCGCATTTTGGTGCCCTAGATAGCTTACTAAAAAGACCTTCTGCGATTGGGTTTGTGATCGCAGAATCATTTCGCAGACCGCAAAAGTGCCGCAGACTGAGGTAGATAATATGCCACATCTGGTGAGCAAAATGCGACCAATATGCGATCGCATAGGTTGTTCTGCATCACTTTTGCGATTGCATTCTTGCTTTGGCTTCTGAGTGCTTTAATTTTGCGATGGGTTTGCGGCTCGCAGAGTTGTTATGCTATCGCATAACTCCTCGCAAATACTTCTTGCTTCCTTTAAATTCTTTCAATATGTTTCCATGCTATATCAACTACTCACCCACTAATTCATTGACAGGAATGGCACCAAAGAAGTCTCCCGTATTGCGATCACCTCCCGCTCGAGGAAACAAACGGGCTGCTTCCCTGATCCAACAAGCACAGCAATCCAACCACACCCGGCCTAACACAGCCAGAAGGACATCTGTCCATTCCTCCCAGTCTGAAGGGGAGGAGTCACGGACTGATCTTGTGCCACCTATTGACCTCCATGAGGAAGCACGCCGAAAAAGTTATGAAGATCTCAGGTTTGGGGTTTTCGGCTCTCGGACCCTGTACAGGGAAGGCTTAGGAAAGAGAAAAATCCTTGAAGAGCAGAAGCTAAGCTTGAACGGCTTAAAAGAACACTATTCCCATGTACTAGAAAATGTCAAAAAGAGGGGGTGGGAGTCCTTCAGTAAGGTCCCAGGAGAGTACAACGGGACACTCACGAAGGAATTCTATGCTGCATATGCTGCATCAAGGAACACAGAACAAAAGAGAAATCGTAGGTTCTTGGTCTCTGTTTTAGTCCGCGGAGTTGAAGTCTTCTATGATGCAGGATTAATCAATGATGTATATTTCGAGGATTAGGAGCCAGGCACTGTAGAATATGACGAAAAGCTTAAAAACAAGGAATCTGAGCGCGCTTGGGTAGCCTCTGTCATAGCCAAGGGAACTTTGCCCTGGATTGCACCGCGCCAAACGATCTACAAGAGGGATCTTACTCAAGAAGGTCGGTACTGGCTAAGTTTTGTCTGTTCCCGTCTAATTCCCTCAAGGAATGAAACAGATATAAGCACCGAGAAGGCAATCCTCATTACATGCATCATGACGGGCATCAAGGTTGATGTGGGAGAGATTATATACCGTGAGATTGGGATCCGGTCGAACCGAACAGCAACTTTGCTCCCTTTTCCATGCCTTGTGTAGAGCTGTAGCGGTTCCTCCTATCCCCAAACATGATCTCATAGCAAATGTTGTTCAGGATATCGACATCACCCGGATTAATGATGTTTCCGATAAAGTGGTTGACGATCCATCAGAGCCTTCACTCACTCCTCCTCCAGCCTTAGCAGAACCTGCTACCTCATCAGACACTCCTTCTGTACCAGCCACTTCCACATCCACTCTTAGACCAGCCACTGCACCACTACATGCCTCATTGGCTGCACTCGCAAAGCTTGGTCTACTGGCACAGCATGCAAATGCCAAAGTAGACAAATTATTGAAAGAACTTCCATCTCTCATCCGGCAAGCACTGGCCCCGATCCAAACCTCAGTCACTGATCTTCAAAAATAGTATCTATCTTATGAGGATCGACTCAAGCACTTTGAAGTGCGCCTTGAGAGGGTTGAGCGAGGCGGATTTGGAGACATGCCTCAACTTAAGAAGGAGGTAGCTGAGCTAAAGTCAGGGCTGCTCAAAATGCAAAACCTGGAGTTTGATTTTACCTCTCTTCTTCCGGTGGCAGGGGAGCAGGGCACTGGTACCTCCCAGATTCCTAGCCTTGGCCTTGATTTCAAAAACCTCATGTTAGCTGAGGTGGCCCTGAGGTGATCCATGGTACTAATGCTTCACAGGCTTCAGGCCCGGTTGTGCACATAGATGATCATTCAGAAGAGAAATCCGAAGGGTCTGAGGAGGACACTGAGGAGGAGGAGACTGATGAGGATGCATTGCTTGAGGAGAATGAGGATCAATGGGACAGCATAGGAAAACACATTGCAGTCTCTACAGATACACAGGGTGAAGAGGAAGCAGTTGTGCAGACAGCAATTACACATTTCATTGAAGACATGGTCGCCAAGGCCACTCCCTCGACCACGCAGCCATCGCTGGGTGAGGCTAGCAGCTCCCAGGCCCCAAGCCTAGCTTCACAGCAAGTGGAGCTTCCTATTATGGCCTAAGACACCATCACATAGTCTGAGGTTCCACCTGCTGCTTCCACAGTGCAAGCATCTGACCCCACAACTGCCCCGGATGTTCCATCGCCTTGTGTGCCCCAGGAAGCCCCTAAACTTTTCTCTTATTCTCAATGCATTGGGGACAATGCATGTTTTTTGGTTGGGGGTGGGGTAGTCAAATTTTTTGGGTGAAACTTGTATATAAACTCTTTGATTTAATAGTGTAGATTTGTAGATAGCAATGAATTCCCCTTGGTTTTTCTTCTCCGGGTTCTTTTCCAAGGGTGTAATAGTAGAACCATGGTGGTAGCACAAAATGTTTTGACTTGTTTGGTGTTGTTGTTCTAGTTTCAAGCATATGACAAGTTTTTGTTGAATAAAATTGCACCTTTCAAATGTTGTAAATAAATGGTTAGTCATTATTATGAAATCAAGGCTCGCTTTTTGACTTTGTGATTACCTGGAATCTCAAATATCATGTGATTAATCTTTGAGTTGCCTTTTATTCACTTGAGGGCTGAAACTATGCCGAATCGAACAGTTCATGCGTTGTGAGTGAGTGAGGATTTGTATAGATAATGCATATGCTTAACTTGTGATGACTAGAATTGTCCCGGTTGGTTTCTTAGTGCAACTCTCAGGTTAATGATTGGGTGCTGAAATGATCTTAGGCTCTCTTTGAGATTGCTAGCTAATTTTGACCAAATTGACCTCCTTGGTATATCAATTACCATGGTTACCCCCGTTGAGCCTTTAACCTTTTATTTGGCTACCACATTACAAACATTTACCGCTTTGTAAAATAATTCCTTCTTTTGAACCATCCTTCCTTGAACGATTAAGAATGAGGCTAAAATCCTAAGTTGGGGGTGCCGGTGTTAAGCAGAAATTGGTAAGGTTGCCTACTGTGTATAGAAGAAAAAAAATAAAAACCTCAAAGTTGTATATATGAAGATACTCAAGCTCCAAAGGAAAAACAAAAGAAAAAAAAATTGTATATTCCAAAAAAAAAAAGAGAAATGGAGTGGAGTCTTGTGAAAACTGAAGAAATACTTTGAGGTGGTTCTATGTCGGCAACTCGAGGTCAATAAGTGCTATGGGGTAAAGAAGCAAAGTGTATGTAGAGTTCAAGGATGGTATAACCACTACATTCCCAAATATTCGTCCAACCCGTCCCGAAGCCTACACTACAACCCGTGAAAAGTCCTTGGTGATCTACAACCAATTATTCCTGAGATAGCAGCGAGTTAAAATAAGGGCAAGCATATGGACTGATACTTGTAGCATTTAGCTTTCTTTCTGAGTGCAAGGGTGTTTGATTGTATCCCCTGTATATATTTGTGAGTTGGGGATTTTCTTTGTTGTGAGTATGCATGAATTGCAAGATTTAGCAGAAGTTAGGTTCTTGTAGTAGGATACAAGTGCTTATTTAGTTGTGGGTAGCATTCTGTCATTTTGCTTGAGGCTCGAAGTTTACAAGTTAATTGGTCGAATTGCTAAATGGTCGTTGTCTTCCACGAAGGGTGAATAAAAGTAATTACATGCTTGTTAGCTGACAGTCAGCACCATCTACAGTTACTGTTGTTTTGTGATCTGTCGAAAATAGAGTAGTGTATGATAGGTTAATTTTGTTTTAGTTGCTTGAGGATAAGCAAGAGTCTAAGTTGGGGGTGTTGATGTGCTGTAGAATTTTGGCACTTTTGATACTAATTACATAGACTTTAGCTCGTATTTTAAAGCAT